TGACGGCCACTCTCTTGCCCCCCCTCCCACCCCCTCCCTGCCAGGATTACCAGGGCCCCGGGACACGGCGGCTGCAGGAGGTGCTGGGCGTGCAGACGGGCGGGCCCGGGGGCCGGCGGGCGGGGGAGCCGGGCCACAGCCCCGCCGACTACCTCCGCTTCCAGGACCTGGTGCTGCGCATGCTGGAGTATGAGCCCGCCGCCCGCATCAGCCCACTGGGGGCTCTGCAGCACGGCTTCTTCCGCCGCACGGCTGATGAGGCCACCAACACGGGCCCGGCAGGCAGCAGTGCCTCCACCTCGCCCGCACCCCTTGATACCTGCCCCTCCTCCAGCACCGCCAGCTCCATCTCCAGCTCTGGTGGGTGCCCAGTGCCAGGTGCGCTAGAACAGGAGGGTGGGCAACATGGGTTTGGCCTGACCTGGGGGACCTTGCCACTGGGCCTTCACCTAGAGCTTTGAAATTGTGGGATCCTGGACTCTGAATGGGTGGGGCAAGAGAGCTCTGCCTGGCTGTGACCTGATCTCTGAAATTGCACTTGGGCTCACACCTCTGAAACTGCTTCTGACTCTGAAAGCCAAAACTGAGCTCTGATCCTTAATCTCAGAATTGGGCCCATCCTTCAGATAGGCTCTGATCCCAAAGCCCAGGCGTGGGCCTGAGTCGCCAGCCAGACTCAGCCACCCGAAAACCCAGCCACCACCTCTCCTCACCCTAAGGCTTCTCCTCATTTCCTCCCCTGGCACCTCCAGGAGGCTCCAGCGGCTCCTCCAGTGACAACCGGACCTACCGATACAGCAACCGATATTGTGGGGGCCCCGGGCCCCCCATCACTGACTGTGAGATGAACAGCCCCCAGGTACTGGGGCCTTGGGGACCTGGGAGGTGGATAGTGGGTTATCTGGGCTTCAGGACCTGGGTCTCCATCACCCACTATTCCTCTGCTCCTTTAGGTCCCACCCTCCCAGCCGCTGCGCCCCTGGGCAGGGGGTGATGTGCCCCACAAGACACATCAGGCCCCTGCCTCCGCCTCGTCACTGCCAGGGGCCGGGGCCCAGTTACCCCCTCAACCCCGATGCCTTGGCCGTCCCCCATCACCAACCTCACCACCACCCCCGGAGCTGATGGATGTGAGCCTGGTGGGCGGCCCTCCAGACTGCTCCCCACCTCACCCGGCGCCTGCCCCCCAGCACCCGGCTGCCTCAGCCCTCCGGACTCGGATGACAGGAGGTCGTCCACCCCTCCCACCCCCTGATGACCCTGCCACTCTGGGGCCTCGCTTGGGCCTCCGTGGTGTACCCCAGAGCACGGCAGCCAGCTCATGACCCAGCCCCCTCCCTGGGGCCCCTCCTGAAGCCATACCCCCCATCTGGGGGCCCTGGGCTCCCATCCTCATCTCTCCCCTTGACTGGAATTGCTGCTACCCAGCTGGGGTGGGTGAGGCCTGCACTGATTGGGGCCTGGGGCAGGGCGTCAAGGAGAGGGGTTTAGGCGCACCCTCCTCACTAAAGACTGGACCCTTGGCCCCCTCTCCCCCCCCCCTTGTTTTCTATTTATTGTACCAAAGACAGTGGTGGTCCGGTGTCGGGGGGAGACCCCCTTCACCCTAGGGCCCTAGGAGGGGGTGGGGGCAGGTAGGGGGAGATGGCCTTGCTCCTCCTTGCTGTACCCCCCAGTAAAGAGCTTTCTCACATGCCTGCCTGAGAGTTTGCAAGGCCTCGGCTTCCCTCACCTGGCCCTCAGAGGCGTGGTGGGGAACGGTGTTTGGGAAGGGGTGCCAGAAAAGCTCTGTCATGAGGGATGCATCCCTGGGGAAGTTATGGCTATTGGCGCAGACACGGGGCTGCAGGAAGTCTGGGGCTACGGAATCCTAGACAAGAGATCCTGGATAGGATCCTAGCCCATGTTTGTCTTTTCCGTGGTAAACACGGACCCTGAACGAGTACACGCCCAGCTGTGGCCTGTCTCTGGGAAACATCAGGATCTGCCCTAATAAGCCAGGGCTTCCACAGAGTCTGCACAGGAGTGGCTCCTTATGCCAGGCAGGCATCTAGTAGGTGCCGAATGCTTGCAGCAGGCCTTATTAATGCCATCTGGGAAATGGCAGGCAGGCAGTGTAAAGTACAGACTTTACCCCACCCCCACCCCCATGTCTGGTCTTACCCTTTGGAACCGTGACGGAGCAAAGCATTTTGAGATTCTCTGGCAGAAAGATATTCCCGGGGTTTCAGGTAAGTGGGTCTGTTTCCATAGCAATTTGGAAACTTAAGTCTCCCAACCGGTCAGTCAAGAGCCTCCTGATTCAAAGGTACCTACCGTCTCCCGCCATTGGGGCGCGGCGCTTCCTGGGAAATGGAGTTACACGTTGCAATCCGTTTTGCCGCTTTTCGTCAGGGGACTACAAAGACCAGAATTCTTTTCGCTCACGAGTTAGGGCCGGTCTCAGGCAGCCAATCGGTAGTCCGAGGTGGACGGGGCCCGGATGCTTGAGGCGGGCTGTAGAAAAGGAAAAAGCCGTGATTGGGTGGCGTTGGTCAGACTGTTCGCCGGTGTTGAGTTCTGTCAGGCGTGCGGGAGGTGGGCCACTGTGCTGCTCCCCGAGACTGAGCAGGTTAGGCGTCCGCGGTCACAGAGCAGGAGGGAGGCGCTGAGGCCTGAAGCGGCCCCATCGCACAGAGCATCACCAGCCGCGGGGTCTGGCCCAGCTCACAGGAAGCCCCGGTCGGTAGGAGAGAGCGTGGACGCCGTTACGGACCTGCGGGTGTTCGGGAGGGGGCGCAGTGTGGAACGCTGAGGGGACCCCAGACGAGGCACGGGTAGGGAACATTCCCGGAGGAGGAGGAGCTGTTTGAGCTGAGACCCGAAGACCGGATGTTTGGGGTGGCGGTGGTGCGGTGGTTTGCGCACAGGCAGCGACGAGAAACAGCCTGTTGTGTGAATATGAACTGCGGGTGATGTGGTGTTGGGAGAGCTAATTGAAAGTTCTGTATGAATTTGATCGTGGAAGATTTTGTTGGCCTGATTAGGTAGCTTGGATTTTGTCCTAAAGACATTGAGGAGCCACGAGAGGATTTCTAGAAGGGAAGGGGCATGCATGGCCCAGTTTGCTGCCATCTAGGAGTAGATTGATGGGAACGAGACTAGGGTCTGGGAGCCCAGGGTGGTGGCTGTGGCACGTTCCGAGGCAAGAGATGTTGGGGATGAACCAGGGCAGGAGTCTTGGCTGGGAGGGGAGAAAGGATGTTGGTGGGAGAGACGTCCAGAAGGCTGAGTTGACAGAATGTATGGCTTTACGGGCTGTGTGGAAGGGGGAGGCGGAGAGGGGCGGGAAAGGGGTATCTCCAGCAGGTAGAACAGTATCTGGCATATTATAGATGCTTAATAAGAAAAAAAAAATTTTAATGGACAGTTCTAGGAGGCAGAGACTATTATGATCTCCATTTTGCAAACAAGAATGCTGAGCACAGAGAAGGTTAAGTAATTTAACCAAGATCACATAATTAGCAAGTGGAAGGCCCAAGATTGTGTGTGTGCTCGCGCATGTGTGCGCCATTGACTTAGCAACGTGCAAGATGAGCTTCGAGACATCATCAGGATCCAGTCGTGTAGGAATTTGGGATAAGTGTGGAAATGTTTATCCCACATTTCAATATCCAGCCCAGAACCTCTCCCTGACCTGCTGACTGCCCACATGATACCTCCTCTCTCAAGATAGCTGTAGTCCTCTGGAGACCAAGGTATCTTGACCAAATTGAACTCTGGTCTTTTCCCCAAAACCTGTTCTTCCCACATTCTCAGTAAATGCCTCCTCCTTCATTGTCTTATATTCATGTCTGGTCCTTCAGCAAATTCCTTCAAAGTGTATTCAGAACCTGATCCTTTCTTCCCACCTCCACTCTTGTCACCCTGGTCCTGTCCACTCTATACCCTGCCTAGACCATCACGGCAGCCTCCTCAGTGGTCTCTGTGCTCCCCACAGTCTTTCTCATATGCAGCAGGGTGACACTGAATACCTGTATCAGGTCACATTTCTCTCTTGCTCAGTACTCTCCTGTGGCACTATCTCACACAGCAAATGCCGGTGTTCTTTCCATGGCCTTTGCAAGGCCCTTGATCCCTGCATGATCTGTCCCTGTTACTTCTCCACCTGGTCCTTTTACCCTGCTCACTCTGCTCCAGCTACACTAGCCTCAGGGCCTTTGCACTTCCTCTCTTTACCTGGAACACTCTTCTCCAGATGTCAAGGCTCACCTTCATCTCCTTTAGTTTTTACTCAGATATCATCTCCTCCTTGAGAACTTCTTTGGTCACCCTTCTGGAACTATACTACTAACATTCATATATTAATTTCCCTTTAACTGTTCCGTAGCATTAATCATATCACTATTTGACTCACTATATAGGTTATCTTGTTTATTGTCTGTCTCTCCTCTGCACCCACAGCAGACCATAAACTTCATGAGGGCAGGGGCTTTTGTCTACTTCATATTTTATCTTTAACATCTAGAAGAGCTCTTGGCACATAGGGGCTCAGTAACAGTTTATTGAAGGGACGAGTCAGTGGGTGATTTCAGAATGTAGATCCTTACCCCAGCATCGCAGGGACTCTGCCCATCCCTCTTCCACAGAACTTCAGAGGACTGCCTTAAAATTTTCTGAGGTCTCAGACATTCAGCAAGGATTTCGTCTTGCTTCTGCTTTGTGCTCAGCATCAGGAACACAGCAGAGAACAAAACAGTTTCCCTGTTCCCCGAGAATTCACAGTGTCAGGGGTAGAGGTTCAAATCGTCAGCTAATCACACAGATATGAAATTACAAAGAAATGTAGAAAGTGCCATAAGAGCACTTGGCCAGAACTCTAATCTAGATCCTAGGAAGTGGAATTGAAGTGATGAAAGTGTAGGCATTAGGCACTCCATTAAAAGGGGTGTGTGTGTGTGTGGTGTGTGTGGGTGTGGGTGTGTGGTGGTCGGAGCCCAGAGGCTGATGGGGAGCAAGAAGACTGGTAATGTGGACCCTGTAAGGAGTTGGGTCCTTAACCCCATGCGTAATGGAGACTCTCAAAGAACTTTAAGCAGTGAGAGGAGGTGCCATCAGTTCTGTATGTTACAAGATCCCTCTGGCTGTCGTGTGGGGGAACTGACGATGGGGTTAAAGATTGAAGTAGTGAGACCTGTGAAAAAGCTGCTCTCCTGAGATTAAAATAGCCTCCTCTACCGAAGGCCACACATCTTTGTTTCTCCCATCAAGAAGTGGAGTCTCTCTGCCCTCTATTCTAGGCTGGCCCATGATTTGTCTTAACCAGTAGAGTGCAGTGGAAGTGATGCTGTGCTGGTCGGGGACCTTAAGAGGCCCGCAGTACTGCTTTCACTTTCTTGGGCCCTGGGCTGCTTTACAAAGAAGTCCAGCTACTCCACTGGAGAGAGATGTGTACAGAGAGAGGCCCAGCCAGCCCCCAGCTGTTCCGCTGTTTTAGCTGATGTGCAGGACAAGAGTGATGCCGTCTAGGATGTTCTAGCCAAGTTCCCAGCTGACACCAGGTAGAATGGAGACTCACCTTGCCCTCCCCGCTTTGCTCAAATTCCAGAATCATGAGCAAATAAATGGCTGCTATTTTAAGCCACTGTGTTATGGGATGATTTGTTACTCAGCGATAGCTCACTGAAACAAGCTTCCTGATACCTTATCATTTTGTGTATTAGCTCACGTAAGCCTCACAGTCACCCTGTGTGGTAATAATTGTTATTCCCGTTACACAGATGAGGAACTGAGGGCACAGAGAAGTTAATGGAGTACTGGCAAGATATCTAGCACGTAGTAAGTGCTGAGTTTGTGATAGCTATTAGTCGTTAGCATGAAAATGTTCATAATCGTTAAAGAAGGGATAGTAAGATGATACAAGCATTACTAACCCATTTACTAGTGGTATGATTTTAGGTAAGTGACTTCATCTCTCCAAGGCTCAATTTTGTCATTGTAAAATGGAGATTATAACAATATTCGTCTCAGGGTCTGATTTAGCAAGCGCCTAGCATATGGCAGGGATAATTACTATGAAGCATACAGCCAAGATTATTGTAGACAGTGACCTTAGGACCACAGGAGGAAGCCAATTTCTTGGAAGTTCTAGTGGAGAGACAGACAGGTCATTTGGTGATATTGTTGAAGTGCTGCATCAGGCTTCACCTGAAGTGGGTTCCTTCTGGACTTTGTCATTAGGGAAACCAGTAAACCTGGGTATCATTTACGCCAAGTTGAACTGGCTTTCCGTTGCTTGGAACCAGCATCCTAACTGATTCTAGTGTTTTATTCATTTATTTTTTTT